TACAAGAAGAAAGCCAGAAAAGCCACGAATAATGTGGAGAGTAAACAACATGCTACTGAACAATTATTGGGTCAAAGAATAAAAGATACACAGAGACCAAAAAAAGGAAAAAAAGAATGACAATAAGATATAACAAAATTTGGAGGATGCAGCAAAAGCAGTCCTAACAGGGAATTTCATAGCATTACAGTCCTACCTCAAGAAACAAGAAAAATTTCAACCCTGGCTGGTGTGGCTCAGTGGACTGAGTGCTGGCCTGCAAACCAAAGGGTTGCTGGTTCGATTCCCAGTCTCGGGCACATGCCTGGGTTGCAGGCCAGGTCAGGCCCCCAGTAGAGGGTGCGTGAAAAGCAACCATACATTGATGTTTCTCTCCCTCTGTCTAAAATAAATAATAAATAAATCTTTAAAAAAATAAAATCTTAAAAAAAAAACAGGAAAAATTTCAAATAAAAAAAAAATCTAACATTTCACCTTAAAGAACTAATGTAAGAACGAATGAAGCCCAAAGTCAGCAGAAGAAAATAAAAATTAGAACAGAATCAAATGAAACAGAACAAAAAGACAATAGAAAAAAATTAATGCAACAATAAGCTGGTTCTTCAAAAAGAGATATAATTGACAAATCTCTGGCTCACTAAGGGGAACAAAAACACTCAAAACCAGAAATGATAGAGAAGTTACAACAAACACCACAGAAGTACAAAGGATTATTCAAGAATACTACGAAAAGCTATACACTACCAAATTTGATAACCTATAAAAATTTCACAAATTCTTAGAAAAATGTAACCTTCAGATCTTCATGGATGATCTTCCATAAAGAACTGAAAAACCTAACTAGATGGATCAAAAGTAAGTAAATTGAAACAGTCATCAAAAAACATCCATAAAACAAAAGTCAGGGCCAGATGGCTTCAGTGATGAATTCTACCAAACACTGAGAGATTTAATACCTATCTTTCTCAAACTCCTCAAAAAAAAAAAAAAAAAAAATCAAATAACAGGGAATAATTCATAACTCATTTTATAAGGTTAACATTACCATGATAACCCTCTCCCCTCAAAAAGAGTGTCCAAGTCTTTAAATATAGTAATTATATATTTAAAAATAATGTCCTTAGGATTCCTACATCACTTGTTTTATCTCTTTCCTTTTTTTCTTTAGGTCTTAAATATCGGATGTTCTTCAATTACCCATTTACACTTATGAGGGAGGCACTACCATGCTGAATCCAAGTTCTCTGTGCAATGGGAGGAGCTTGCTGAACAGTGGGCCTCAGTGTAGAAAGGTGGCCAGCCATTTCACCTCAGGTATCCCGAGGTCTTTTCTCTTTAGTCAGTTTCTACAAAAAGAAATTCCAGCCTTCTATCTGGGATTATAAAGCTGGCCACCAGAGGTGTACTTAACCTCCATCATTAACACAGCATTTCACCCCTCTCTCACTTGTGATTAGTCTTCCGGAATCCAGAACTTCTCTGGTTTTGCCTCCCCAGAGAACACGCTTCAACCCAATCTTCTGCCAGAGGAAGATAAGGGTCCCTATGTGGCCACGTGAAATAAGCAAGATCTGGGGATAGGCCTCTTGCCCCTCATACGTCCGCTCAAACAAACCTATCTTCATATTTGCGGTTCTATCTCATTCCTGCAGATATGCCTACCTGATACATCTAATTCCTGAATCTTTCAGAAATTAAGTGCAAGGGTTTTTAACAAGTTCATTTGTTCTTTATTGCCATTCCCTACTATAGATACTTGACATTTTCACTTTCTTCACTCTCCAACTTTTCAAATTGTGTTAATAGCTCTCATTTACTGTACACTTCTCTTCCATTCTTTTAATCCTTGGGGGCTGATACCTTCTTATTTACTGTAACTCAGAGGGGTTTCAGAATAGATCAGATGGAGAGTAACACGTACGTTCAAACTGTCACCTTGGATGAGGCGCCTCATCTGTCTTGTACCCACCATCCAGCTTAATAAAACATTACAGATACAGCTGAAGTTGCCTTTGTTGCTTATGATTTGTCTTTTTAAATTTTTTAGATAAAATTGTGATTTTCAAACACTAAGTTTTGTTATTCTGATATTAGAGAAAAGTTAAAGAAAAAATAAAAAAAATTTAAAAATAAAGGATAACTAGACTGTTTTGCTTGCCCTATCAAATATATCTCAAACAGCATGTTAAATAGTCATAGGAGGAGCCATTCTTGTTTTGTTTTGTTTTTTTCTTGGGGGGGACTGTTTCATTACTGATAATAATGTTAGACCTTAGACTTAATATAATCTCTCAATTAAGAAATTTTAGAAGACAATTTTCATTGGGAATATGTATGAATTTTTTGTGTACTACATTCTGATTTCTCCTATTTTTTTTCTATTGCTGATTAAAGAAACTAGCTATGTTTAAGTATAATTAGCATACTATAAAATACTGATCTTAGGTGTAGTTCTAGTAATTAATTAGGTAGATTTCTCGTAAGTTTATAGAGTTGTACAACCATCAATACATTCAAGTTTTGGAACATTTTCATTCACAAAGTAATTTTTATTCATTAGGATTATTTTTATTACCGTTTCTCTCCCAGTTCGCTGTAAGCTTCATGAAAAGAAAAATGCTGAGTGTTTCTGCTCGTTAGTATTTAGACAAAGCGCCCAGCCTACTGCCTGACATACAGTAGTGAGGGACTCAACAAATACTGTCAAATGAAGAATATGGAAGAACTATTTCAGTTCTACTTTTGACATTTCTTCTTCTTCACTTTGACTTACGATTCTTCATATATGAACTTAAATTCCTGTACTCTTTCTTCTCAATCTAGACATTTTTTGTTACTACAGCCATTTAGAGTGGTAACATTTCATCAAGTGTTACTTTGGAAAAATCCCATAGATTTTGTTAAAATGCTTATATTATTTGTATCCTTCAAAAATAGATAGGATGTAGCCCCTCTCTCAAAAGCCATAAAAATTTTTCCATTTTCTATGGAATAATAACTAAAGTACTCAGTAAAACAATCAAGTCAGCTCCAAACTGATTTATGGCCTATCATCTCATCTACCTACCTGATACTCAAATCAGATTGGGCTTCTTGCTCTTCCCTTAAACAAGTACTGTACTTCTGTTTATAAATACTTTTTCTTTTGTGCTCAGCACCTAGCAGCACATCTTAAACATAGTAGCTCAATAAATGTTTGTGGAGGAGTTCATACCACTTTTCATAACCCACATTAAGATTTTTAAGATTCTTTAAATTTACATCTTTTACAGTTTTGAATTATATTATGTGATTTCTAATTTTATTGTACAGTGACCTGATGTTAATATTGTTTAATTTTTTTCTTATTTTTGTTTTCAAAATATTTATATTATTGCAACCTATTTTTAAACTGCATTAAATACTCTTTGTATCCTATATTTTGGTCAATTTCTGTCTAAGACTTAAACATTTAAAAAGATATCTTGGCTTTTCTCCCACCACGGTTAGACTGTAGAATTCATGAAAGCAAGAACCATGTCTGTCTTGTTGAGTGCATCCTTAGCTAGGACATGCGGGTATGTTTAGAGTTGTCTTTCATTTTATTCTTTCCACCGCTACTAAATTTAAAAGTATACATCAAGGAGTTCTTAGGTAGATTACCTTATGAGAGAACAATGAATAAAAATATACATAATAGATGGGGTTCAATTAAATACAGCAACTGACGCTGAGTTCCTATTGTGGATCAAGATGTTCTAAGAATGAGATACAAGTACAATTCCTGCCCTTGAGGCCTATGAAGATGCACAGGTTAACAAATAACTTTGATCAGTGTACTAAAAAGGAGGTATGTATAAAATGGCTTGGAAGTAGAAGTTGACGAAGTGCTTAAATTGGGGAGAAAAAGGAGATAAGTAAGGAAATTCTATGGTAGTAAGTAAAATCCTCTGAAGGATAAAGAAGCCAAACCCAGATGAAGCATAACACATGTTCAAGATGCGGCTGGCGATCGAGACGGGAGATCTAACTCCCGGTTCTGTGCTCTTTCCATTACACCATCCATACTATCGGTACCTTTAGCTGCTCACAAAAGAATTACAGGAGAGGATTTAATAGCGACAAAATAAAATAGGGGGATTTATTCATCCTAACCCCATCTCCCATTAATATGAAAAAAAATCAAGGACTATACAAAATTGTGACATTAGCCAAGCACCATGTAGTTCAAACAACTTTCGAGTTGCCTGGCCTATAAACACTGGGCTACAAAGCAACCTTTCTGTGACTAATTTGTACCACCCTCACCCTCCACATCCGTGTTGACCCCACAACCCCGACGTCGGAATGTTAGAATATCTAACCTCGCCCTCCCCCATTACAAATTAGTGAACAAGCACTCTGAATCATACATCAGTTTTGGTTGCTTAGTGAGCATGAAAGAACCCCAAGAATTTGCTGGGGTCTAACAGCACTGTAGGAAAAAGTTTACTCTAAACCAGTAACTGAAAAGGTGATTCAGGTCACAGATGGATTTTATTTGGCTTGCAGGGGAAGAGGGAGAGAAAGAGGAAGGGAAAGAGCAATGGGGGCACGGAGCAGGGAAGAGGGTGGGAGAGGAGAGGAGGGGGCAAAAGGGGAGGAGGACTAGCTCTAAAACTATACAGATATTTCATATAAAAATGCACATTCCCGGGTTCTCTTGAAAACTCAGCAGCTCTGTCAATAGCGGGCCTACACTGGTACAAACTAAAGTGGGCAGAGTTAAGAACCCATAGCTCCATTTAATACGGGACATTTCCTTTCTCATTCATCATAGACCAACCCCTCCTTTCTATTCCCCACACTGAGGCCAAAAGTCAACTGTCATTTCCCATTCTGCCTGCAGTGTTGCTTGCCTTATAAATGTCAAAGAATAAAGAATGCCATAGATGGTAGATAAGTGCAGATTTTTCAAAGGTACAATCCAGTCTTCCCATTAACACAGTAAGACAACGCTAGAATCCAAGAACTCAATTTACCTTAATCTGAGTCTGTTCGATTGATTTTTCCCATATCTGCTGATCATATGCTCCAATCTGAAATAGGGAGGAGGCTATTTAAATAATGCAAAAGAAATCCTTTTATTAAAATCAAACGTTGCCAAAGTCGTAACTATTAAATATCAATATATCTGGAAAATGTTTGTGCTGTTCAGACTTCTGTGTCATATCTAGAAAATGTTCCCACTTCTTCAGGAAAACTAGAGACCACTTAATAGGTAAGGGACAGGCAGCTCAGTAAGATCGTTGACAGTACCACTCTGAGCGCGCAGATAAAAGTTTCATGTCTAAAAAAACAGCAGTTTGATGAGAAGCAAAGTTGCAAAGCCTTCCTGGGGCATTGTGGTTGTAGCCTGAAGAAGGAAGGTGACTTGGAAATCTTATTCGGGGACCTGGAACTGGGTTTAAGAGACTTAACAGCCTTGTCCATCGGTTTTTCTCTATTTGTTGCTTGAAATCATGGAAGAGTACCTGGGGGAAACTAATGTGAAATTCTTTGTGGGAGCTCTGGCGGGAAGTGTGCTTTATCAATAAAAAACACTGACGTTACCTTCTTTTGGTACCACGATATAGCATCTCTCTCATTTGAGGCCATGTGTGTCTCCAGCCAGGGAATGGGATTTCACTGTAAATGAAGGAAAACCGGAGTGAGTCCCCCTGCGGAAAGGGACTCATCCCGGTCTGGGTAGAGCTCCAAAACCGCTTTTCTCGGCCTCTCCGTGAGCCGCTGTCTGATTCTCCGGCTGTTTGCCAGGAAGACATAAAATAAAACAAAATAGAAACAAAAGCGAGCCAAAAGCCTCCCGCGCAGTGGCGACCGCAGCAGCGTCTCCGCGATGTTTCACGCGAGTGTGTCCGTGGACCCGGGGGAGGGAAGGACAGGTCGCCGTCACCGATCTGCCCACCTGTCCCCACCCCCGCCCTCCTGGCGCTCGGCTCTCACCTGGGGCCCGCTGCCCGGCAGTGCGGCGGCCGGGACCTTCCCCCTCAGTGGCCCCAGCCCGGCCGTGAGGCGTGGGGCGAGGCGGCAGGCCCGGCGGGCGGCATCTTCCTCAAGCGGCGGAGAGGCTGGCGGGGCCGTTACCATGGAGACCACGGCGGCCGCGGCAGCCGAGGACGCAGCCTTCCGCCGGGCGCCCGGAGGACAGCCTGTGGCCACGGACCCGGTGTCCTCCAAGCCCGACCAACGGGGCCAACGGAGTGACCCTACAATAAGCAAAGAATAAACTGGGAAAGTAGGGGGATAAAAGGCGAAGGGGCAGGGGGCTTCGCTAGGCCACCAGTGGCTACGGCAACAGCCAGAGGCGGTGTGCGCGGCCGGAACGGACAGCGGCCAAGGCCCCCCGGCCCGGAAGGCGGCTGCCTCGGGGCAACGGACGCGCGTCCTCGCGGGCCAGGCCGTGACTCAGCGGCGCGAGCAGGCAACCGCGGCTCCGCGGACCCCGTGCAGCCGGCCGCGGCTTCCGCTTTCCGGGTTTTACCGCGGAGGTGGCTCCGCCCCGGCGCGAGCCTGCCTGCGCGAGCCTCGGGCCAGGCTCCCGGATGCAGGGGCCGGGGAGCCGCTGGCTCTCTCGGCCCGCGCAGCCGCCCCGGACGACCCCACAAGCCGCTTCCACCCAAGTGCCTCTTCCAGCTCTCGATCTAAAGGAAGCTGATCTTGATAGTCTAAGGGCTAGTTCCCGCTCCTTTCTTTGTGCTTCGTTGTTTTTATCTGTCTCCCCAATGGGCTCGTGAGCTCCATGCCTGGCACGAGGCTGGCGCACATGTTCTCAATCTTTGAGGAATGAACGAATGCTATCAATTTACACTGCGCTGAGGCCAAGGGCCTGGGCAGGCTGCGGCTTCCTATGCCCTGCCTCTCCCGCTCTCAGGATTCTGGGTGTCCAGGGACCAGGGATGAGGAGGGGGCGAGGCTTGTGCAGCTGCAGGGCACTTTCCCAAATTAGAGTAGGGGGAGGTGGCGGCGGGAAGAGCTATTTCCAGGTTAAGAATTCAACCAGGCTGACGGAAATCGGGAGAAAGGGACAGCTGCTCCCCCCAGTGAAGATCAGGATGTGTTAAGGTTCTAAACCGCTTTCCTCCTCTACACAGTGGTTGGTTGGTTGTCATTAATGAACCACTGACCCCCTCACAGCCACCTCACCTCAACTGCAGCAGGGTCCCTGCTTGCCTGCATGTGTCATTTGGCTCAGGTAAAGCTAATCATAAGTATGATGGTTACACTAGCTACCACTTCAGAAAGCCTAAGTATGGTTCTGGATGTTTTACAGACATTTCCAATCATCCATTAAATCGACCATAAGGTGGAAGTTACCCCATCTTATTGATGACGAAATTCTGGCGAGAAGATAAATGTGACTCCCACAGAAAGAATTTAAAATGACTTCACCCAGGCTTATTTTTATATTGCAAATTGGCAGTGGTTTCCCTCTCTGCTTTTGCTTCTTGACAGCTTTGCCCTTCTAGGCTAAACATTCCAATTCCGTTGAAGACAAATGGCCAACTTTAAAAAACAAAAACAACTGGATAAATGACAAATAAGTCTTTTTTTGCATTTCTAAATATTTGCTTTAAGTTACATTAATAGCAGAAACATTTTACTTCATTGCTTAGCCCTGGAAAAAGGCTCTCTGTGGAGTCATGGAAGAAGAGAGTCAGGTAGATCACAGGAGGGGAGAACAGTGTGCAGCAAACCCTCCTTTAGGAGCCCTTTACACTTAGTGCTTCCTGAGGCTGTCGCTGAACAAAGCATGGGCTTTGAACCTGAACTGCCTTTAGATGCCTGCTCCCACTAACGGTCCGACAATTTGTCAACCCAACAAGCCCGTTTTCTCACCTATTACAAAGATCGTCTTGTTACTTTCCTTCTTAAAGGCTGAGGATTCAAATACCCCATATTAAGTGGCTGGCCCACCACAGTTATTCAAAAAAAAGGTAGTTCCCTGTCTTTTCCTTTACTAGTGAGAACCAAGGGCTAACAGTGCCAAGGACAGGTCCCTCAATTAAGAAGTTCACACAAATAAAAACGAACGGGGGAAAGAAATCCACTGCATTGTCACTTAAAACATCAATTACATCTCTATGCACCACCTTGATTAACACTGCATGCGTGCACTTTCAGAAATATCACATCAGCAGAATAAAAATGTAAGGTTGTCCTCAAAATTAGGTATAAACCAATTTAAGCAGCGGGAAATGTAACTGCCTCAAATGCCAAGTGTGGCTTTTCTTCTTCCCCCAAACTAGCTGTATCTCAATATGGATGGGATTTCCCCCAGATACCTATGACCTTTTGTAAAATACTAGAAAATAATAGGGGACATAGGTTGGGGTGGGGGGATTAAATGGTTTAAAAACAGGTTCCAGGTAGGTTAGAATTCACATGTGCTAGTCACTTTATCACAAAACATCAGTAAAGGACAAATCAGACTTTGTTTATTAAAAAAATACTTTACAGGAAAAAAAAAAAAAACCTCTATGCATTCCATTGTCCTATTTTACAAAGAAATAGCTTAACAATTTAACACACTTAAGACAGCTACAAAAAAAGCACTGTGCTAAAAGATTATTCACACAAATTTAGATTTAAGACTATTCATTAAAAACCTTTTTAAAACACTTGTTAATGTCAATAAACAAACTAAGGCCACACAACGCAAATAGTCCGCCAGGCAAATTATACATTTCATCTATATGCAAAGACCTCTTAGATAAATTAAAGCCACAGGAAAAAAAGTCTTAGCTGCCAATCAAAATGGAGTTTAGTCACAAAAAAACACTATTACATGAAAATTTACAACATGTGAAAGAAGTAGTACATAAGTATTTCTTTAGAGAGAATTGAAAAGTGCTATATTAAGAGACAGTGGTCTCAACTACATGCACAAGTGGATCCTAAAAAATGTATGAAGAAAATGGAAGGCCATAATATTTATGGAGAGATACTTGCTTTTAAAGCAACAAACTTTCAGCATGAGGATAGGTCCCTTATATGCTAAAGCAAAACACCTCTTGTACATTCCTTCTACTTACTGCATGACCAATAAATACAGCTACAACCTGTTTTTTAAAAAAATAAAACTTAGCAGAAATATGAACTTCTGGCATGTACTAGTCAAAACTTCTTTTTTAAAAAGCTTTAGCAATGACAAACAGATTTATTAGAAAGACACAAACTCAATTATCCTGAAGATTTAAACACAAATTTTTAATGGCAAATACCGATGAAAATATTATGGACTAATATTAATGATCAAGAATGTATGCATTAAAGGTTTTCTTGAATTTTGGAGTTTTGTTCCTAAATTAGCTTTCATTCTAGACAATATTTATAGAGGGAAAGGCAGTAAGCAAAAGTTGCCCCAGTCATTATGAACTTTATGCCTATTAAGATTGATGAAAGAAAGATAATGCGAAACATCTTTTCCTAAGGTTTAGTAAAGAACTTTATTTAGTAAGCTCGTTTTTCTTATTACAAGAGCTTGTAATATTAGTCATCTGATATTCCAACTGTCTCTAAGGGGAAAGGGCACCTTTCAAAAGTCTTTAAAAATATTGAAGTACCAGTGAAACAAATTGTAAGTGCTGAATAAGCAAATTAATAAACAAATAATCAATAATAGCCTAGAAATTCCTTTTTAAAAGAGTTAAAACTTTGGAGGGGAAAAGTCATACGTAAGTTTTTATTATTATTGCTTTATGAATTTGGAATACCTCTTTGAATCCTAATCCTAGTCCTAGCATATCTTGGTATAATTATAGAATGACTTCTGGGTAAGGGGGAAGACTTTTATTCTTATTAGTAAATATTGTAAAATCATTCTAGCTACTAAGTTAGAAATATTCACATACTGGGTCCTTTCCATAGCACATTTAAAAATAATGTGCTCCACAAAATACTAAAACTTATAGCCACATTCTGCAAGTTATCTCAAAGAGTTGGCACAACGGATAAGATACCAAAAAGGAAGATCAGCTTAAATTTCAGTTACAACTTCACTGCCATCACTACTTTACAAATCAGAAGACGCCAGTTTGCTCCATGCCTCACTCCACCAAACCAAATAATTTAATGATTTAGAAAAGTTGCAATCATTTGTATCACTAAACTAGGATACAGCTTTGAAAGCAGTAAGAAACTCAAAACTTGGGCTTTTATATTCTTCAGTCTTTAAAGCATGCTATTAAAATCTAATACTCACTCACATAGGACATTCAGAGTTTCCAGATACATTACTAGCTAAATGTTTCTCTCTCCCTATTGCATTTCTAACATACAATGAATTAAGTAGTACATGATTTTAAACATTTTTATACTCTTTTAATGTGTTTATATGGGAGGTGAGGGTAGAAGGTTTATTAAAGGAAAATGGGGATTTGCTTTTGATTGTAGGTCTTTGCAGATCCGCTGGTCCCTGAGTGATCACACACAGTGCTGGCTGTCAGGAGACAGTCTCCTTGTTTATTAGCAATGACCAGCTTAGATGACAGATGGCATCTGCTGGATGGCAAGTGGGAGATGGGGAAATCGGATCTTGGAAGACAAGAAAAATAAAAATAAAAAAGTTTTTGCTTTAGCAACCTTGTTCTTCATGATTATTTTAAAAAACAAATGTTGCCTGAGAAGAATTTTACTTTGCACAGCCTAGTAAAGCTCTATGAAATTCTTCTGGACAGAAAAACAAAAACAAGAACGAACCCAAACCCACATACTTTGTGATTAACCCCCCCCCACCAGTAACAAAAAGCACCCTCAAAGGCAGGTCCCTTAAAAACTAGTCTTGATAAACTAGAATTTACCCTAGAATTTATACCCAAGATTTAAAAACACCCCTGCAATAATCACATTACTTTTCATACCATTCTAATTACCTTATTTACAGAGATAACTAAAACCAACATCACTTTCAATTCATAAATGGTTTACATTGAAATGTTTCTCTATTAGTCTTTATCCTTTTTAACAGAGAATACATACATATACATATATATATAAGGAATAATACAGATTCTAACTAATCACTGCAGTATTTGCTGATGGTTACTTTTCTATCGGTTTACAGTGACCTCTATACTTTGCTAATATGCATTTAACTACACAACAATATTGCACAAAGTAATATTTATATAAGATTTAACCTATTTCAGAATATTTTAGAGAAAATTCATATTTGATATTTCAAAAGATGCAGCTAAGTTTTCATGGTGACAGACATAATAAAGCAGCATCTTTTTTGCCTATGTTAATGTAAATATTCCAAATCTCACCCTCCAGGAAAAAAATCTCCAAATTGCACTATAACCAGGTAGATATAAGAATCTGGCCTTAGGTGTGGGGAGTACTCTTCCTGTAATAAACAAAAGGCCTACAGTATTATTAACTAAGGTAAAAATGTGTATCACATTAACATTCTGAAACAATAGGAAGACTACACCAGCTATATGAACTGTGCCTGTTGGGGAAAAAAAAAATTAAATACTCAGGCACTAAGCATTGGGCTACCTGAAACTCTAGGATGAAGTCTAGTGCCATATTTTTTATTGGAAAGTAACAACACAGAGTAACAGTAAATAAACTCCAGTATTCACCAGTTAAAACTGTGAATTGAAGTGTCTGAACAGTAGATCTTTGTCATGAAGAGGTTTGTGCCAGGTGACAAAAAGTTTTTCTAAAGTTTCATGCACAAAATATGGCAACCTCATCAGAAAGATTGATATCACTCTCTAAGGTGGATATTCGTAATCAGTTTAGGAAGTAAAAGTATCCACACAAAATGCGAGGAAGCCAGGAGGCAGAACAAGAAAGTATCAGGCCAACATTATCTCTTTCACCCAAATTAGCTTCCACAGTTACCTTGTATTCTAGAAAGATTAATGAACCTGGGTAATGAATGACCAAGAACTATTCATCATTAGATATTTTTAATTAAAATATCCACTGGGCTTTAAATAACAGATACAAAAAAGACAGTTTGGATCAGAAAGTGCTGTGCTTTCTCTTTTGTTAAGAAACCAGAGAGCCACTGAATTTTCCTTTGAGACCACCTGTTCCTTACGGGTGGAACTAAATAACTGACTTGCCTTTGAACAAGACGCAGGAACTCTTTCCTGCAACCTATGCCATTTTTACTGTAGAAATTGAATCTGTGCCATAAAGACAGTCCTAAATGATAAATCTAATCTATCATAAAAACAGCAAATATGGCAAGAGACAAGATAAATTTAAAGGAAGTGAATAATTTATCCAAAAAGAATCTGTTATTCCAGAGTTATTTTGATCTGAAGAAGAGATTGAATTATTACCTCACACCTTAAAACAGAAAGTAGCAGCAGACCCACTATTACATACTGTACTAACGGGATAAGATACAACTCTTAACTTTGCATAATCTGTGTAAAAAAGATATGCTTGACATTTGTGGAATGTCATTTCTCTTTATAGAATTATAGGCAAGATTTCTCCAATAAAACTTAACTTAAGCCAGTTATAAAACTATAACTTCACATCAAAATTTAAAAAAGTTAAAAAATGTGTTTGAATATGTACATATCACACAGGAGTGCTTGCGTGCTCCTGTAGCTTGTGTTGCTGCTGCTCAGAGTCCAGTCTACTCTCTGCCTTTAAAACGGGAACAGGCTGTGTCCGCTGATCTTGCTGCAGATTAAGTTCTGAGGAAGGTGGGAAGGACGACGAAGCAGTTGTCAACAGCTGCATCTCTGTGCAGGTTTCTTCAGGTTCAGTTTTTATCCTCACACACTGGGAGTCAACTTCTAACTCTCGCTTTCCAGTTAAATCACGGTCCATCTCAGGACCGCTTTCTGTGTTCTGAGCGGCTTCCGCAACAGGGTGGTACTGTTTGAGCCTTATATGCCAGGCGAGGCTGCACACTGCTGACACCGTTTTGAACTGATGAATGACGTTTCTGGGGATGAAGTAGATATCGTTGTCGCAGAGCTGAATTCTAGCATAGCGAATGCCTTCCCGCCTCATTTGGTTTAGTTTAGCTTCATCCACCCACTGCACACACTGAAGAGGAAAAACAAGTTGCGTGAGTCTTTAAAATAAAATACATAATAATTTAATAAAATATTAGAATTAGCACAGGAAACCGGTGGGGCCAAAATAAAGCGTAAGAATACGAAATGAGATACAGCTTTTAAATTTCCCATAAGGCTTGACAAACATTTTCCCTCATATTTTACGACCTCTCTAGCAACACAGGACAGGCTCAAGTCAAGATAGCCTAGATAATCATTTAAATAAGTATTTTAAATTACAGCTAAGTATCAATGTTCTTTGCTATACACAAGGGCAACATCTATCTGCTTCTTCAGTCTTTCAACCTTCTGCAGGTGGGCACCCAGTGCAATGGGGCTCACAGCTGGGACTCAGGGGGCCAGAACTGAGGCGCCCAGGCCCTCTGACCATCCGGGGCCCACCACTGAAGGAATCTCGGGCATTCTGATTGGGAAACGCTGATTTTCGAGACCCTCCACAAAAAGCCTTAAATAGTCATAAAATTAAGTCCACCATCCCATGTTTCCAACTATAAGATAAAAGGCAAAATAAAATGCATAAAGACACTTATTTCCAAAATCTCACTTAAAGGGTAACAAAAAAGTAAGAGTCACTACCTGAGAAACTGGAGGTTCATGAAGGTCTAACTGAAGTCTCTGTACAACATCAGTAAAATCCTCAGCATGAAAACAAATCACATCTTTGGTTATGCGAGGATGGTCACTCCTAAGATTAATAAGAGTAAGCTTCAGAAACAATCAAACAATGGAAAATGACAAATTTCAGGTTCCCTACCCTTGGAACTGCTACTCTAGTATAGAAATAGAGTATAGCTCCTAAGAACAAAGTATACATTTGCTCCTTTCATCAGCTTGAAACAATAAACAAAACACTAAAAAAACTGTTTTTAAACAAGAAAATTAGATTAGTTGTTACTAAACGAAAACAACAGAGGCTAAAAACAGGGAGTTGTCCCCTGGACCAGTGACACGGGCGGCACGCGGCCCCGCCACCGCCACGCCACCCTGCGGTCGTCAGCCACACAAGTGTCAGCCCTTCCCGTTTTCCAAAGTAGAGAAGAGGAAGAAAAGGAGAATATCTTTATCTTGGAATAATTATTATCAAGCTGTGACTGAACTATGTTTTAGAAAAATTAGATCCAACTCTATAATAATATTGAGGGTCCTGATATCATAAATATGAAAACCAAATAGAAAGTTTTAACGTGAACTTTGTTAAAGCTGTGCCCCAAATGAATGTAAAAGGGTGTAGCCATTATGGAAAAACAGTATGGCAGTTCCTACGAAAGTTAAAAATAGCACTACCACATGGTCTAGCAATTCCACTTCTGGGTATAGATCCAAAAGATTAAAAGCAAGGACACCAGATATTTGTTCTATCAGCCAAAAGGTGGAAGCAACCCAGGTGTCCACTGATGGATAACAGATAAACACCATGTGGCATACACATATAATGGAATACTAGTCAGCATTTAACAGGAAAGAAATTGACCCATGATGCAATATGGATAATCCCTGAGGATGCTATGAACTTTGAGAACATTATGCTAAATAAAACCAGCCAATCACAAAAGACAACTACTGTATGAGTCCAGTGATATGAGATATTACAGTCAAGTTCACAGACACAGAAAGAATGATGATTTGTGGGACCTGGGTGTGAGGGAAAGGGAGTTATGGCTTGTGGGTATAAAGTTTCAGTTTTGCAAGATGAAAAAGTTAAGGAGATCTGTTTCACAACAAAGTGAATACATTTAACACTCCTGAACTGTACATTTAAAAATGGTTGACTTTTACTTTTGTTCTGTGCATTTTACAATTTTTCGAAAAAGTAGTCCCCGATCTTTTAAACTGAGACTAGATTTTCTGAGACAACATTAACCAACCTTGCAGTTGAGCTCCATTAACTTACCATTCGCCAAACTGTACAGCTTTCAAAACCCCAACAGCGGCCGTACTCTGCCAGTCAAACCCTTGACCTACGTGATCAGCGTGAGCTCTTGTCCTGTCTTCAAAGAGAACTTCACGGGGTTCACTGGTCCGAGGTAGGTACTGGAGATTTTTAATTTCATTCATTGATCTGGAGTTGATTTGGTTGTGAAGTAAAGGGAAGAAAAAAAGTATTAACAGTAATAAGGCAAAAAAGTCAGCTAAGATACCAAATTTCAAAGAAGAAGAAAGGTAAGAGGGTTCAACTGATTTTTGATGATTACATTTAACACATTCTATTGGAATGTTTAATGTGATTACCTTCCTCTCTTCGTAGGTAATGACAATAAAGGAACTATCTCCGGCTCAAATATAGTGTTTAGATATATAAAATTTGGTTGCCTAGCAACAGAAAATACAATTCAATGTTCAAGGCTGTGTATTGCTTTACCCTGAGTCATTTTTTACTCAAAACACCTGTAATTCCACTAACATTCTACAAGACTTGATTCAAGATAGCAAACTGAGCATCTACATGAAAATGAAAGCAAAAGGCTTCACACTAACATGGAGGGTGGGGGAGTGGCCGTGGGGAGGGGGAGAAGATGGGGAATGGACAGAGGTACAGATGAAACAGAATTGCCTGAGTTGACAGCTAACTGCTACTGATTACATGAGAGCTTCTTATATTATCTCCTGCTTTTTATATGCTCAATAAATTGTAAGTATAATAATCTAAAGTAATAGTAAAAGAATGAGTAAGAAGCAACAAAGGAAATAAATTACTGATAGAAAATTATTAAAAGGGTCGTGGACTAATAAAACTGAGCAGAGAAAGCCAAAGGCCTAAAAGTACACGTTGAGGAGGTGGCAGCTGAAAAGGCAGCAGGCTGCCAAGAGACTTTGGAGAAGCTTACAAGTCAAAAAAAAAAAAAGAAAAAAAAAAGTCAGGTATAATGGTGATAACTAGACAGAAATGAAGTAAGGCTGGGGAAGGGAAATTAAAGTGAAATTCTGCAGGCAAACCAGCCCCCTGCCCCCCGTGTAAGCAGGAGTGTGGAGAGCAGACATTCCCCGCCGTGGGGGGCACTGTGAGGGACCCCCCCCGCAGCCCTCGCTCATTTTCTGTCCCTGATGGAACTCTGGTTTTCATTAGGGATCTGCTCCCGTGTGTGACCTCATTCGCAAGTGGAGGTGGGGGAAAAGCTGAATAATCTTTAACTTGAAATACTTATTATTGCGCTATGATTGAACTACTTTCTAGAGAGATGAGATCCGAGCCCACAGTAACAGTGAAGGTCCTGACATCACAGATGCTCACGGGCCGAGGAAGCTCATTCCCCTCACCAGTGGCTGATGCAGTAGGCACAGGCAGGCACTGGTCTGCCTAGAGCTCCGAGAGGAAATCTGCTAAGGAGACTTCTTGGAAGTTTCTAGCCTTAAGAGAGAAATAAAATAAAAGATAGACCCTTCTTCTATTATCTATAACCAGACCCAGATGGGATGCCTGGAACTGCTGCGGCCACCGGCAGCCAGAAAGGAAACCGTTGTTAGTATAACGCCTAGGTCAAAAAATGACAGAAGCAGAAAAAAGGAAAACACCTGGCTCCTTGATGGGAGCGCCGAGTCACTGACCATATGGCACCTACGGACTTCTCCGGACTTCTCGACACACAGAATAACATTCTATGTCATGAACCAGTTTGAATTAAAAAATCTTATGAATATATATTGACTAAAATTTAAAAGGTTAATATGCCTAAAGGTGGGATTATGGGTATTTTTGCCTTCTGTTTATTTTCTATTATCCAATTTTTTTAAGTTTATAATAATCTGGAAATAAACAGTGGTCATTTCCTTTCATCATCATGGTGTAGAAAAGCTGTTGTAGTTTCAGTTTACTGCCAGGTTTTTACCACGCACCACCTTGCATTCATATATAGTTTTCACAGAGTGTTTTCATGCGCTATCTCAAGAACCTAGGGTTATTCCACACTTAACGCTGGTATCATTTGCCAATGAGCTTTAAGGTGAGGTCTAGACTAGTCCATTATTACTCACTTCTGGGTACTTATTTTGAGTTGCTATTTGTAGCTAAGCAAGTATTTATTTTCAGTTTCATTATATGAGATTTTTCATAGTACTAGAGTGAGTTAATCTACATTTAAGTGCCTGAAAAACAAAATATATTAGCCCAATGTACATTATTATGGAGAATACATTATTGATTTCATTCAGCAAACACGATCACCTGCAATGTGTCATAAAGACAGAGAATAAAACACAATGCCTGTCCTTAAAATCCTGAAAACTTAAGTTTAAAATAAAACAAAAACACGTGAGCTCAGAGAAGGAAACTATTAGGGAAGGGAACAAAGAAAAGCTTCACAAGTAAAGTGACATCTCCGAAGAGGTTTGAAAATCTAGCTAGAGCTTGCCAGGCAGAGAGGAAGATGGGGGCAGGGCTGCCATTCCAAGCCAAACGGACAGAGCCCAGCGCAGGGCCGTGGACACTGAACTCAGCGTGGCCACGGTGGGCTGAGGGCAGATACACCACAGAGGTGCTGCGGGGGCCAGGTTATGAAGGACCCTTGTCAGCCACACGAAGGAGTTAGGACTTTTGTCCTGCAGGCAGTTAGGACCTACTTTTTAAGGTAAGAAGTGAAAAATAAATGTTTTTTAGGAGGATGCCTCACTCTTGATGACTGCGCTAGGGGTGGCCTGCACTAAGGAACTGATGACGAGACCGCCCTTCAAACAATCCAGACAAATGATGTTCCAACTGTGCTCAGGTCTCAACCGTTTTTATAAGCCATCAACTGTTAAAAAGTGCTCCCTGAGAAAAATAACTGTTTACCGTCGTCTTTTGAAGGGTGACTTTGGCATATCTGCCGTAGGGATCATCTGCTCTCCTGGCCTCACCCACATGATAGGTCCGTCATCGCTCTGGGACCTACACTGGAGTCGCAGGCTGGAAAGTGTGCCCCAGGGCAACGTCATCTGGAAGTCAGATGTGTCGCATTAAAAAACACGTTAGACTATTTACAAGTTAACCTCCCCACCCAGAGGAAAGCTCTAAGAAGCTTATTTTGTGTAGTTATATGAAGAAATAAATGTAGTTGACAGTAATTTATATACACAAAAGGAAACTGAAGTGAAATATTTTGTACCAATAATTTCCTAAACATTTCTATTCAAAACACTGGATAAAATTTCATTTTAACCAGACAAAATTAGCTTAATCATTTTTAGTGAAAAGTGTCCACTTAAGTAATGATCCAAACTTTAATACTATGAATTAACACTCACTTTCAGAAATGGTGATTCTTCTAACATATCCAGGAACTCTGGGAAATAATCACCAACTTCTTCATCAACTGCTCCAACAAGACTGATCTGCCGCATGGGACCTGCTCGGTAGGTGCCACAGCAGTATGTCCTGTTGACCTGAGATAAGCATGGAAGAGGGGGAGAAAGAAATGAAGACACTACAATATAATAAAAGAATGAGACTATGGTATTGCTTCCAATGTTGCTATTTCTTCTACATACTAAGAACTCAACGGTCAGTCAGTACCTTGGACAAAGCCAGTAGTTACAGAAAAGCACCCAAGCACACCGACAAATATACTGATCTATGTTCCACAAACAGCAAATTTAGGTGCAACTTAGTCTATGGTCCCAACATCTCAAAGAAATATTGAAGACATTAAGATATACTTAAACTTCTCTGAGAATAATTTTTGAAGTCTTTAAACACTTTAAAGTGATCTTTATTTAGGAAAATCATAAACAATAAAGCTGGCAGGGCAGACCACGGTCAGAGCAACCCTCCACGTTCACTTTGTGCTCTCCAGCGGGAAAGGCTTCACCACCAGGCCAGACCCGGGCTGACTGTTACCAGCCCGATCTCCCGGTACTTCCACGTGAGGTCCTCCGCCCTAGTCAGGCTCACCTTTTTCTCTCTCCAACTTATGCCCAAGTTATTTCTACCTGCAATGATTCTTCTCTTGAATCTGCCCTACTTGGAGTGTCCTCTTTGCTGTCAAACCATATCTTATCTATCTTTCAAAGATCAGTTCAAGACTTCTGTTCTTCTGGAAGCCTTCCTGATCTCCCTTCATGATCTTTCCCTTTTCTGAAGTCTAATGTTACCTGTAAGCACATAAACATTTTCTCTGTAGCAACTCTCGTGACTTTAGAATGTATTTCATACAAATTTGTAGCTTAAAGAATCCCAGCATTCAAATCAAATCTACCAATATCAATACAATCTATTATTACTGAGTCATTTCATAGATGTCCTTAAACTTCTACCTCTTATTCATTTACTTCCTCACCAGAGGACTTTATTTTTTCATTGCTTTTAGAGAAGAAAGGAAGGAGGGCGAGAGAGAAGGGAAGGAGAGAGAAAGTGAGAGAGAGAGAGAGAGAGAGAGACATTGATGACAGAGAGAAACATCGATCGGTTATAGGCACCCTGACCGGGGATCGAACCTGCAACCTGGGAATGAGCCCTGACCAGGAATCCAATCCACAACCTTTTAGTCCACAAGACAATGCTCCAACCAACTGAATGTGTCTAAAGGGTATAGATAGATCCTATGTATACAGATGACTAGACTAAAAATGCTGGATTAACCAGGATTTCCACCTTGAATCAGTAACCTAGCATTTTCTACCTTAGTAAGATGGCGATTAAATTGAAAACCCTAACATATAGATGTACTTTTTTATAAGGTGGGTCTCTATTGAAGATTCAAAACAAAGTCAATTGCTCCTGCCCTTTTTTTTTTTTTTTAAGATTTTATTTATTTTTAGAGAGGGGGAAGGGAGGAAAAAAGAGGAGAGAAAACATCTATGTGAGAGAAAAACACAGATCAGTGGCAAGCACACTAACCGGAAGCTGAACTCACAACCCAGGCATGAGCCCTGACTGGGAATCAACTGGCTCCTTTCACTTCACAGAACGCTGCCCGACCAACTGAGCCACACCAGTCAGGACCACTGCTACAGTTTTATTAAAGATTTTTTTTTAAAGATTTTATTTATTTATTTTTAGAGAGAGGGGAAGGGAGGAAGAGAAACACCAATCTATCGGTTGCGAGAGACATCATCTATCGGTTGCCTATCACGCCCCCAACCAGAGACCTGGCCCACGACCCAGGCCTGTGCCCTGACCTGAAAGTGAACCTGGGACCCTCTGACTTGCAGGCCCTCTCTCAATCCACTGAGCCACACTAGCCAGGGCAATTTTTTTAAATGTCACTTATTTTGCCTCAATAGAAAAAGCATGAATGACCATCCAGTATTTCTTACATGATTTTTGATTATTAATTCTTTAGCAGCATTTTCAGAATCAACGCACTATTCTTCTTCCACAATTTTCCACAGATAAACATCGCTGCCAGCTATATACATAGAGGGGGGGGGAAAGCTGTATATCTTTTTCTCAGTTATCACGAATTTTTAAAAAAATTCCTTCTAAAGCTTTCCCCCAAGATCACCTTAGATGATCTTTTAGCAGCAACAGCCCAGGCCATAATTACCTTGCATATTTAAATTAGTTACCTTCCATTCGTTTGGATGATCATCATGCTATAAAAGCCAGGGGAGGCAGGGTGGTCACGGGATAGAAGGAGAAGGAAGAGGAAGTAATGGAGCTTTTCTAAGCATTATTTTAACTTTTCTCAGTCAAGCACCCTAAAATGATGAAAGCAGGTTTAACCTTCAATACCAGTTCTAGAAATTGTATGCTTTCAGGTGTAATAATATCAACCTCCCCTAAACACCTCCCCTGATTATTCCCAATTATAGGAAATTCCTTTACCAAAAAAGACTTCCAAATTATACATGATGGTACCATCTTATGGGAGAAAAAATTCTGAAGACTTATCTCAATTTAAAGCTCACATAACTCAAGGCCAATCCTGAAGTGCACTGCCCCTCTGGTAATTTTCCATTTCCTTGGTCTGCTGGCTTTGAGATTATGCAACTCTTCATACAATATTAATTTGAAGGAGTCCACACTAAATTTTGCATACAAAGGGAGACTGGATTAATATTTTTATATCACAGTACTCCAAGTTTTCCTAATTTAAATACCACTTTATTCAACGGCACTGAACTTGAAAACAACTTAAAATGCAAATATCTAGGATAACTAATATGTGATATAAGCAAAATTAAATTACCTTCTCTTGCTTAGAAAGAAAGTAAACCTGAAGAGGAGAAATAGTTAACTTTGTGTTTGCTGAGGCTAGAAATGAAGTAATCAGCTATTAAACTCTGGTTAAAAAAAAATAGTTATAGTAATAAAGCTGATTAAGAGTCTCTATCATATGAGTAAAATCTTTAAATAAATGCTAGTGTTTGTGCTGCATTGAAATAATTAACAGCACAGTTAGAAGGTGGAAGGCATGTACCACCAGAAATTCAAAAGGTACCAACAACGTGACCCTAATACCAAAGAAGCAAACTATGGCTTATCCCCCAGCACCTGATCTTCCACCCTTGCTTTAGCAGCAGGACATCCTGGCCATACAGCTGAGCTGGGCTCCCGGGCAGCTAAATGTGGCCTGCGACTAGGTTCTGGCCAATGAACGACATGTTGGCTTCAGTTACCTATGCAATTTCCAGAGCGTGTCTTAATAAGCAAGCGGCCTGCTAGCCACTTCCTCTTTCTTTTGAGGGCCAGGCTCAACCATGCATATGACAACAAGAAAGGGAATGGCAAAACTTGAAGACAGAAGCAAAGTAGAATCCTGGATGACCTCACGAAGACCTTTAGACTTGAGAAACTTTTTTGTTCTAGTCTTGTCTGTGAGCCGATCTCTCTGTTACAGGGGTTTAGCACACCCAAAGACAGCAATTAAGATGATTAGTGACCTGCAAACCATACAAACTGGAGAAAGCAAAGAAATTAAAAGTAATTCAAAAGTATTTAACATGAAAAGATTAAAGTGAGGACACAACCATTTCCAAATACTTGGAGGCCTATCACAGAGGAGTAGACTTACATGCTTTAAATGAAGAATAGAAACTATAGGAAAGCCTTCATCACTTGGTTTGCTTTTCTGCTTTTAATCCTCACAGGAGGACATGCTTACTGACTTTAGAGAGAGGGGAAAGGAGGGAGGGAGAGAGGGAGAGAAACATTGATGTTGATGTGAGAGAGAAACACCAACTGGTTTCCTCCCACATGAGCCCAGACCAGGACCAAACCCACAACCTAGGTATGGCATGTGCCCTGACGGCGCGGCCGGTGGCCTTTCGGTTTATAGAATGATGCTCCAACCAACTAAGCCACACTGGCCAAGGCCATATCAATTTTTTAATAAAAGTTCACTGTATATTATATGCCAGACACTGTCCTAAACACAGATACAGCAAACAACACACGTTCTTGACTCCTGGAAACTTACAGTCTAGTAGCAAGTAGCAGACACTAATTTAAATATTTAATTATAAACTGTGACAAGTCTTCAGAATGGAATGTATAAGATGCTAAGGAGAACATGGGATCCTGATCTAAGAGTATAGAGTGTTTCTCAAAGTAACAAGGAACTAAAATCTGTAGAACAAGTTTCATGGACAGAAAAATCTCTTAAGCCTCACCGTTTCCAGAGTCTTTAACTAACTAACTAACTAACTAACTAACTAACTAAAGATGGCCCTGAAGCAATGAGCTGTAGCTGGACTACAGCGAGCCTGTATGGCCACACTGAGACTTCTGGAGGCCCTGACCAGCTCGGGTGGGGGGAGGGGGCGGGAGGGCACTGAAAGAGGAAACCAATTAGGAGGCTTCTGTAATATTCTATATAAAAAAAAAACACACTAATAGCGGTGATCTGATTAAAAAATAAAGAAAAATAAAGATTTTTAAAATATCCAGGAAATAAAATAGTCAGGACTTGGAGAAAGACTAGACATGATGGAAAAGAGAGAGGGATGTCAAGGATGCCTTCCAGGTTCTAGCTGTGCAGCCAGACGGAGAAGCCAGCCTTTGCACTGGAGGAGGACCAGGTCTCGGGGGAGAAGTGGTATCTTCAGTTCCGGACGTGGCGAGCTGGAAGGTGTGGTAGGCTGAATAATGGCTCCCCAAGACAAACAGGTAGTAATCTCTGGAACCTGTGAATGTTACCTCATATGGCAAAAGTACTTTGCAGCTCTGAATAAATTAAGGATTTGGGGATGAGGAGATTATCCTAGATTATCTAGGTGGGCCCTAAATGTAATCACAAGTGTCCTTATAAGGAGGTAGAGGGAGATCTGATTAGAGAGCACAGAAGGCATGAGGATTGGAGGGGGGCATGGGGTCATGCACTTTGAAGCCTGAGGGAGGGGCCACAAGCCAGGAAAGAGAGATGGCCATCAGAAGCTAAAAAAGGCAAAACAAAAAACACAGCATTCTCCTTCAGAGCTTACAGGACAGCAAGAGACTAAAT